ATACACGCATACAGCCTGTATATTTTTTTACTCTCTGTAATATTAAAGTTTTGTTAGTGCTTCAAACTAATTTGTGATATTATGGAATTACAACCATATATAGTTTTGAGCCCACAATCAACGATATTGACAGTATAACTTCAAGCCGATGCATTTCGCTAACGAAATTTTAAATACGAATTTGTGCATCGAAAACAGATCTACAAAACCAGTGAACGAATGGTGTTTGTGTGAGAAGTGTTTGAATTTAAGTACTGATCGTGAGTGCGTTTGTTGTATTGAATTTGAAAATTTACAAAAACTTTGTCTAGATAAAAAAATGTATTACATTAATTATTTACAATAAATCATTTTCTAAAATTATATCGGATGAAGAAATTTTAAATATTACACGGCAGCAAATGATCGTTAAGACTAAAAACCGAAAGAAACGTAACACAAATTACGTATGCTGGATAACAAAATATAGAAATATTCATTTTACTAAGTTAAACAATACTGTAAATATTATCTACAAACATGTATAAATATAGTTACATTTACACAATAATAATAAGGCGGACAACAGTCCTGAAAATATAGTCTACAGTCGTATAAAATATAAATGTTTGTTTAATTTTTAATTGAATCATATAATTAACTTATTATTGCGAAAAAACATGCGATAAAAGAAAAATTTGTGAACTTTAAATTATTATAAAGGTCTACATCAATAAATTGAGTATTGGCCGACTTATTAGAGATTAAAAAGCGAAAGTCGTATTACTCCCGTAAAATCGTGTACAGAGTAATCGGCGGCGGCGGCTAAATTATGACGTTTTTTCAAATGACTGCCGCAGGCTAAATTAAGTTGTAAATGTATTTTAATGGTATCTCTGTTTGTATTTCACTAAATACTATATTCTAAAATAGACTTTTTTTTTAGTGTTATGGTCCTTTAAGGGTCCTGCTCGTGCGTCTTTATTAAGCGTAAGTAATTTCGTTATACTCATGGCATTAGTGATAAATAGTGTGAATGTGATTGTATGCAATTACTAGTGATTGTGGCTATCTACACAAATGTCAACGGCACAGCCGACCAAAAATATAAGAATCGTAATTTTTTGCACCAAACACGATTTACAGGAAAAAGTCTCGCGCATTGTAAAGGTGTCAGATTTGATTAATTTTTTTTTTTTTGTTAGGTAGAGGATAACAACTTTCTACAGCGTGTATTGAACTTTCATTTTCAAAATTGTTTCTTAAATCAAACATGATAAAAATAACAAGAGCTTATGAAAATTGGTCGAATTCAAAATAATATTATCATATTGTTTAGAAATAAAATGTTGAAAATTCAAGTCCAATGCGGCCTGATGAAGAAGTATTTTCTTTTCAAAAAGAAAAAAGTTATCGAAATCAAATAGTTCTACGAGGCGTGAGAGTTTTTCCTGTAAGGCATGCTTTTGACTAAAAAGACAGGTCACGGGCAGGCCTCTTAACGCATTGTTTTTAAAACAAAAATAACCAAAAGTATCAAGTTATTTGAATGGAATAATGATTGATACTCAAACCTGTTTGTGTTGAAAACTGTTAAACGCAGTTTTAAAGTTTCTGTTGATTTTATTTATTTGTTTTGTGAAGGCTCAAATACGATAAAAGAATACATAAATTAACGGCTATGGTTAGTATTAGTGATGGGAATTGTTCGAATATTCGAATAGTTTTACTGTAAATAATTTGAATATTCAAATATTCGGATATCAGTATTCGAATACTATAACTATTTTTAGTCGTTTTTTCACTATAAGTCTTCTACATTTATTCAATTCTTTAACCAATTTTCGCTCCCGACAGCCATGGGTTCCTTTTCCTTTACCCTTTTAATGGATTAGGTTAGCCGTTAAGCAAAAATAGGCTCTAATATTTAAATAATTGTTTTAAAAACAATGTCTTAATAGTTTTGTTCAATAATGTATAATAATAATAATACATAATATAATATTAGGTTTAACAGAAAAATAATGAATAATGAATAATAATCGAAAAATGAATATACATTTATAAGTAATAGTTTTACGCGATAATTTGTTCAATAATAATATTAATAGATACTTGTACGTTAAATTTCATCGATTAATATCATCGAATATAATATTATTATTATTATTATTTACATTGATTAATATTGATTTTTTAGTATCGAATACTGACAATCGAATTATTCGCGTAGGTATTCGAATATTCGAATTATTTACGGTCACACTATTCGAATTCGAATGTATTCTAATATTCGAATTATTCGATTATTCGAATGTACGTTACACCCATATAGTTGGTATGCAGTAGAGTAGAAAGAACATGGTAATATTAATGTTAAAGTACTTAATATTGGGATGCTATTTACGGGTAGAAATGATTTTCAACTCTTGCCGCCTGGAAAACCTTTCTCCCCCTCCCACTATTGACTCGCCCCTGTTTATGCTTACCGTCGCCGATTTGAAATTTCACGCGCCTTCGACGGCGTCTCGGAGGTAACCGAACACACGACCCGAACGCTGCGGTCACCTATTTGGCGCCGTAAATTTGGTATTGAGTAAGTCGACGAGAAGTGTGATGACGTTGTCGTCCGGTAGATGGCGCTACCGATTCCGAATTCCACAATCTTCACCGTCCCGTCCGCTACAACGACATAGGGAAATTATTATTGTTATTTCAAAATATTTTTAATACTATATCGTTATTATTGACCGATAGACCGCGGTCGCGAGTTAATTTGGATACTTTGTAGTTTAAATTATTGATGTTAAGCGATGAGGACATCACTTAAACTGCTGAACATCACTCACAAGCCAAACTATTACGTATTTTTGTATCCGATACCTAACGACATTTTGGTAGGTACACCTCAGGGGCCAGGGCTTAGTTAATAGAAGATTTTAAAGTGCATGAAAAGTTTTTGGTAAAATTGTACAATACATTTTATTCTCGTGCATACAAAGTTTGCTTCGTCTCGGGAAATATTACAAAAAAAAAATAAGCTATTTTTTAAATTGTTCAGTCATATCATACTATTTTATTACTAACTATCAGTGGTCGAAATGGGAGAGGGGGATACGGTGGGATGGCATCACTCTACTTTTCATAATTTATATTTTCCATCCCTCCACTTATTTCGTACGACTGTTCAAGCAATATACGAGAACTATAAAAATTATGAAAGGCATCCCTCCACTCCCTTTGAGCCACTTCGACCACTGCTAAGTAGTAAACTCACGTAATATAAATATATAATGCGTCAATGGACGGCCTATGTAATTTGTTATTGACGTACATTTACATAAATGGAAATCGTCAAGACAATAATAGTTTTTATTTTTCACTCGAATGAAAAATTGCATGCCTACTGAGCATCGTGATATTTTAAATCCCCATTAATTACCGTATAAGTATCGCTTAAAATCTAGTACCTTCTATCTATTTTTTTAAAATTTTTTTTTTTTATTAGAAATCAAAATAAATGGTTACAAATTTACACTAGTTTAACAAATAGGTACAGTTTTGATTACCTACCTTCTGTAAGCTAATAGCTTGTGTTGGAGGGGTAGGGAGTTACTACATTTACCGACAAAATAAAACAATTAATAAATAAATTAGGTAATTTTTTATAATATTACGTATATTCATTCATGATACGATCACTTTCAAAAAATATAATAAAGTATAGAAATGACAAAGTGATACAAAGTTTAAAAATAGATTAGTAATACATTTAGTTGATACAGCATTTTAACAATCAAAATAATATACTGTTATGTACACAAATAACATGTAATTTAGCAATAATTTACAATAGAGAATAAAACTAATACACATTATTATTCAATTCTAAAAACATTAATTTTTATAATAATCCTTTTATATTAATTTTTTTACATGTAATAATATTTCTCTTAAAGTCCAGAGGCATAGAATTGTAGTAGGTAAGTTGGGCCTAGGTAATCTATAAATATTTGACCAAAAGATTTATTAGTACATTTAACTGGAAAATCATATTTTCTAATTTCTCTTAAGTGACTATTGTCATTATGTAACTGCTCAATATAAAGTTGTTTAATAATGAATATGATTGCTATTTTTTTATATAATTGTTTTACTGGCAAGACCAATAATTCCTTATAATTATCAATTGTTGATCCTTGTAATGACAGCTTATTTAGGCAAATCCTAACAATGTTATTCTGATTTATTATTAGGTGATTTAAAATATTGTTTCGAAGGCCATCCCATACTAATAAACCGTATTGAAAATTGGATTGGTATAGAGCAAAGTAAACTAATCTCATTGTTTTCTTTGGAACTATTTTTTTTAGTTTGAACATATTATAAGTAATATATAATAATAATTTGTATTCAGAATTCAGATTCCAGAGAACGTTGTTGGAATAGTGCAGTATGAAACAAAGAACCATGGAACGCGTACTACATATTATAGAAGTTGCTTTAAATATGTATAAGTGATATTTTATAGTTAAACGATTTAAACCACAAAAAAATAACGTAACTACACAATCTCCATAGACTCATAAAATCATAACCTCTATTTGAAGAATAAAAAAAAAAAAAATGTTTTACCTTTTTTATTTAGCACACTATTTTGTTACCTATATATATAGGTATCTTTAGTTTATTATGTTGTTGCACAGTAAAATTAAAAACAATTTTTAACTATACTTATTTTGTTTTCCTGCCCAATAAACTAATACAACATGTTAATTTTATCGGAACACGAATACACGATGTATTATTTATCTCTATTCAATACATTCGTTTGAAAAAAAATATACCTAGTTCAGTATAGGAGGTACCTTATTTGTTACCTGGTTACAATAATAAATAAATACTACTTAAACGTTCCGAAATCATATGTTTGGATAAAACGGTTTGTTATTGTTTTTGTCGATCGTACGGAAATATCAGACATTTTTGTGTACATAATTGTGGCGTTGGAGCGTTGAAAAATGAATTCTGGTTCTGATAATTTTGCAAAACGAAAAGAACTTAAACCGCTGCTGAGGTCGGGATATAGGGATGGTGAACTTTACAAAAGCACCGTGATAAACGGATTTATCCTAGAAGGTTCGAAAAAAGCTAAGTACAAACGTGCCGGAACGATATCCTCCGAAGCAATAATTTCGACCAATAAGTAAGTGTAGTTCGTTCACGCCATTACATTATAGTCCGCATGCTGGTGTCCTACTATTGAAACACGAACATGAGAATATTGTACCATAACCATGGTTATAATTTAAACGGTATCTATCTTGATGCTCAAACAATCATTATTTTTTTCACCGAAAAATTACTTACAATTAAACGACAGGGGTGGTTCAATCGTTTCCTATGTTTTTGCTCTTCAATTATTACCTATACTTTCTTTGTCAAAAATCCTTAAAAACTTTGCCATGGGACACCCAAAATCTATATCACCAGCCCTGCGGCTTTTCGTTCTTCAGTCTATTATCCGAATCCAAATAATGTGGGTGGTAATATTTGTGCAGTGTGATTTTATGTCACATATTATTTGCTATATAAACAGTATTGTATTTTTCTAGTTTTACGTTAATTACCTATACATATGAGTGTAATATAAATATTTAGTATTTTTGTAGGAAATAAAATAATGGTGTTTCGATTAATTTATAAGTGGGTGAATCTGTAAAATTGTAAATTTCTAAAGATGATTTTTTTTCGATTGCTCCCAGTTATGTTTTGGTGTTTTGGGGATAACTCAATAAAAGTGTTTGAGGTGCAAAAACAGAGCGCAAAAATTTGGATTTCTCACTAGTAAAAATTTTGAAATTGTGGGGGGGGGAGTCCACTAAACCCACAGACCTAGCGTACATTAATGGCATTAATACATCAACCATTGACTGCAACCCAAACGAAAATTTGAATTTATTTTGTCACTCCTATAACGGTGAGCCGAGTAGCAGTGATTCCGACGAGGACTCCGAAGACGACGACGAAGAAGAGGCGTACGACTACATCAGCCTGTTCCAAGTCTGGTTGAACTTTCTATTTCCCAGAGCTTTTCGCATACAACCCGTGCACCGGTGGGTCAAGTCCGCTCATTCGGTGTCGGACTTGAGGGAGCGAAGCACCGGGAAAATATTGTCCCCCGTGGGCCGGTGCTCGTTGTTCCCAGAAGGAGTGTTCGTGCAATCCACCACGGAAAAAGACGTGACGAAAATATGTTTTCCCGGGGCCCAAGAAACGTTCACGGCTCCGAGCCGCCCGAGTCGAGTCAACAAAAATTAACTCATTAATTCACAAACGATTTAATATTGAACTATATGCACGCGTTTAATTGTACAATTTGAACATTATTACGCACACCATTATTATAAATTATAATATAATACGTCCTATTAATATTATATTATTGTATTACCGTAAGTCATCATTAATATTTTACTGTATACCTACAAGTCAAAATATGTAACGTGTATGGCAAAACAATTCACTGACGTTTATTCTTTCCAGCCGCCCAAGTAGAAATCATAGACAAAAGACATGATATTGTACTATGATGTATGCCGTTCACTGCGTAAATACAATCGAATATTATGATTACACGCCGAATTATATAAAATATCCTATAGTATTATTATTATTATAGTAAGTTATATAATATCATACGTCAGTATAAACGTTAAAATAATATATAATATGTATTATATGCAATATTAAAGTCTCTGACTAGTTTATTCTTTTCAGCCCTCGTCGTCGGTCTTTCTGACGTTACTACTATGATAAAGTTCAATAAATTATACGCACAAGCCAGAACAACGAAAATCGAGTACCTTATCGTGCTATTAAATAGTAATACAGTTTTGAATTGATGGTCCTACACTGCCTGTATGATATATACAAAATATTATTATATGAAAAATATAAAAAAAAAAAATATTGCAAAAATCAAAACGATGCACTCGTAGATGGTCCGTAGTAATATTGGGAAAACGATTCTAAACTATGACGGAGATGAAAGTTTTGAACTTAATAAGCATTAAGCGTTCAGCGCGAGAAAACTGTGTGTAATAACTGTGGTCACGACGATTGTCGATTACAATAATTGCAGTCGATATTTTAAATACAACTCCAAATAACCACTCTCGATGATCCAACTGTTGTATTATACTTTTCAAGCATCAGGTATCACGATAAATGAAAATGTAACGCATTTTTACCTAATTCGTAAGTCTTCGTGGTCCCTATTCATTTTGTTACGCAAAAGAGTTAAAACCTCAAATATGATAAAAATAGTAAACAATACATACATACATAATATATTTTAATCGATGTCTTATCATTATTTCGAATTATTATGTAAAAAAATCATTCAAATGAGTTGATTGTTTTCCGAGTTATTTCACAATATTGTGTTTACAACTGTTTGTAAGTTTAATACGTATATAGGTATAGGTATATATATAATATATATATATATATAGGTTTGTATAGGTTAATATATATAACTATTTTATTTCAATTCAAGATTAATTATTTTTATTTCGTGTGCTTGTGTTTTCAATCAAATAGTAGTTCATACTGCTATATAATATAAACACCTTTCTGTCGATCTTGAAGATTCTTCTATACTGGTGTGTACTCGTTGTAAACTGGACTTCAAGGCCTAGAAAATGAATAAATTATTAAAAACAAAATATATTATATAGGTACATATCGTCGCGACGATCTGACACGATCTCGAAACTTCCCTATGTTTTTTCTTCTTACTTTCCATAATATATTTACCAGTATCCACCAGCTGGTCACGAAAGTCGATGAAACAAAATTATTTAATAAACATAATTTACATAATTCGTATGATAAAAAATGAGCAATATTCATATTTCATGAACTTGACAGATGCACATTTCGTAACGGCCAACGAGTCGCGGCTAGAGCCATCGCTGTAACATAAAAAAATTTAGTATATAGATATCTAGGTAGCGTAGTTTGAGGAATAAAATAATATATTAAGTATGCGAGTGTTTTCGTCACAAGTTTTTAACATTTAGATATGTTTTTGAGCTGGATACAATTTTTTATTCAACGATTTTGTTATCGCTGTAGAAACGCAAGTCGACAATAAAAACAAAATATTTATGACCCCTCAATTTTCTATGCAGAAGACAAATATCGAGTAGCATAACACTTGTTTTCCGAAAACGTTGCATTTTAAAATGACACTGTGCATATAACAATTAATAATTTATCTAAAAATATACCATGATGTTCGATATATTTTATAATATTGTCCATCGACTATCGAGTAAATCGAGCAGACGTGTAGCACTGCAAAAAGATTATTTTTCATTGATGTGTTAGATTATTGTTTTATTAATTGCATCTTTAATATTATATTTCAAGGTCATAAATGATGTTAATATTGTACGTATATATATGATGTATGCAAGTATAATAATACTAGTTATATTTCTCCACTCAAAGGAAAACATATTGTATAATATTATGAATTTGGTGGTAACTATTTTTTCAATAACCAAAATATCATTTATCAAAAAACTTGACTTTTGAGCTTTTACTAGTTCTGAGTGACATTAATGTATCGAAATATATTTTATTAAAAGGCCAAGATATTCAGCGGTATTTTTATTGTTTTGTTTTTGGCACCATGTAGATTGTAGGTACTTATTTAAGACCTATAAAAATCGACGTAGTAGATTAGAATCGACAACTTGTATTGCCTATGATATAGCGACACTACAACAGTAAGACATAGTTCTAAATCAATTGATGGAAAGTAATTTCATAACTTCAAACAGCCCACTGTCCGCCAACGTGTCGAGCAAATATTTTTACGTTAAGAGGGCGCCACCCGTTCATACATTTAATTTTTGTAGAATACCCAAAATACTTTTCACGCCCGAAAAACATCCACTCCATCATAGTCATAGGTTCTTGCAACCAATTATGCAGCTCGGTACGACAGAAATTAATAATTCGATTCATCTATATTTTCTACTAATTTACTAATCTCTCATCATCTCGTAAAACCAGAATTACTGGCAGACACTCGTGCAGGCCGGGCCCACATTGTTTGAAGTGGCCCACCGAGTTTTTCTCGGTTGCTCGGTAATTACAAGTGAAAACTATTAGCCATCACTAAATTTGTTATTTATTCGTTTGTGTATAATAAACGAGTTTCAAACCGTTCAGTAAAATGCAATAATTGTGTAAACGGTTACAGCTTATGATATATAAATATAAAACAAAAAAAAAAGTAAGAATTAGTAAGTGTGCCAATGGTAAACAACGAAATAAAGAACAAATTGATAATAAAAGTATAAACTATAAATTATTAAATACACAATATACAGTTATAATAGAACCAAGAGGTGTATGATATACGAGTAGGTAGTTAAAAAAAACAATAAATTAAACATGTACATCTATATTCAAGTGCATAAATATTCTGACTAAAATATACATAACGCGACATGACAAAAAAATCAACATGATCCTTTATACAGTTCGCCAAAGACAGAGTAACAAATATATATATATATAGTACATATGAAGTACGTATAGACCTAAATACATTTTTTTTTATAACTTTTAGCGGCCTGCGTGCGAGCTGTTTTTTTTGCTCAAAACCACGCCTCACAGGGAAAACTCTCACGCCTCGTTATGCGATCAGATTTCGATGATAATTTTTTTCTTTTTTTTAGAAAGAGGAACAGTGTTTACAAGCGTTGTACTGCGCTTTATCTTATGACAAGAGTTGTAACTTTAAGCAATTTTACAAGGCTTTAATTTTTGTATTTTCGTCGTCCGCTAACGTGTTGGGTAAATAAAATCGTTAAAAACAACCATCATGGGTATTTAATACTAGCCGGTTACTTGCCCACAATAATATTTAACCCACCAAATAAATTCTCTATAGTCTATGCAGATGCCATTTGGCACACAGTGATATGCATGTAGTATGTTTATCGCAGCTTTTCTAATAGGAATTATTATTATACCTAGGTATTAATACTTATTTTAGCAGATGTTGTCAATTTGTGTGGCATGTGCCGTGGCATGTAACGTGTTTGACGTTTGTGTATTACATAGTATGTCAATACGTGGAGAAAAATGAAAATTATTTATGTTTGCATAACTATAATAACAAGTTAGAAAAGCTTCACTTTGCGAGGGTGCTAAATTCTGATTTCCAAAAGTATTTTAATATAAAACAATGAACTATAGGTATATAACTCTGAAAACAATTTAAAAACAATTTGCTGACCTTAATATTTTTTAAGTATTTTTTTTTTTGGATATTATGAATCTGCATATTAAACACTTATATGTAAATATACAATATGTAATTATCTTAATATCAACAATCGTAATTAAATATCGTAATACAAACGTGATAGTAACTACCTATACGAAAAGTAAAGTAACTCCGAAAAGTAGTGGATAAATAAATATCTTAATATCAACAACCGCGACAATGTACTATCAGTAATATATATATTATACGTACTGGTAACTAACGGACGGACACAACGGGTTGTAAACTCATGTTTAGAAACCTGAAAACCACTCAATTCGGTAGTAAATTAAACATATTTCCTGAAGTTCGATTGTGATTTCAATGAAATAGTGTAATTTATAGGTTTCCATTAGTATGCGTAGGAACTCTAATTAGATATCAATGTTCACATTTAAAATCCGATGTGTCCAAAATAAATACAATCAGTGTAATGAAATATAATTTCACGAAACCTTAAAAGTAAATTAATGAATCGTAAGGTTCTTTAAAATTGAAAATTGAAAATCGGACGTCGGGGCAAAGCATATTGTGTATAATGTAAATTAAATGTAAGACTACCACCGCTTATTGGTTTAAGACACGTTAAAAATTCGTGAACTGCGATCTCCTTAATAGCAACCAAGTTTATACTCAGTGGCGGATTCATGCGGTGATGAAAGAGGCTTTTACTCACAAACACCGTATTTGACCTATGTCTTAGCTTGTGTTTTCCACAGTACTGCAGTAATCGATGTCTTAGACATAGATGTCATATAATTTCATTTCCGAACGCGTATATTGTAAACATTGTAAAACTATAAAAACCTGAAAGTTTCCAAGTCTTATAGCATATTAGTACGTTTATTAATCGTAGTCCGTGTGACCCGACATGCAGTACGACTTTGTACCGATTACTTAATCGGTGTTAATTTTAAAATATAATATAGGTAGGTATGAGGTACCAGATTTTATAATATTACCTATT